ATAATGGAAAGGATAACGTATAATTTAAGCTGGCTAGCAGAATGTGCCGGAGAGTGACTACTTGACACCCAAAGGAGAATTCGGCCAATTTGCATGCCCTACAGAGACCGTAGAATTAGAAAATGAATGACAAGTTAGAAAAAAAAAACTATAGGTATACAAATAAGATAAATAAAAATGATTATAGAAGTTGCTCCAAAATGTGAGTGGGCGCCAGGAAAGTATTTACATAAACTTTCCAATGTATCTTGTAAAGCTGTTTGCTGAAATAAAGAAAGGATATAGGTATGAATTGAAATATTTAGTTTTCACCAAAACTTTAATCCCTATCCAAATATATACAATCTAAATGTAATATATCCACCACCAATTATGTACAGCTAATCTAGTTATATACAAAAAAATAAATGCCCTGGTTATACAACTGATCCTGGATGATCTAAATTTACAAATAATAAAATATGAAAAAAAATGGTAATAATTGCCCTAAAAAGGTAATTTATTTGCCTCAGAGATGCAACTCTGTATTCTGGCTTTATCGAATATAACAGTAACAAGTAATAAGGACACTATCTTGACGAGATAAGTGTCCAAACGTTTAAATATATATTGATAATAAAATCTAAAAAAAAATAACTCTCTGATTAAATGTGTACACAAGAAACCATACAAGTGAGTTAGAAGGGAGGACTTAAAAACCTATACCTGTAGTTGACAATTTGTGTTTAAATATTATTCAATAAATTATTTAAAAAAATGACGACTCTTATTATTATATGAAATACTAGAAGTTAAATATACAAAAAAATTATACAAAAAATATTATAGTAAAAAAAATAAATCTAAGAAATAAACTTAATCCAGATTTACTATATTTTAAGGGAGATAATTCCCGCTGGTTTCCTAAAATTTTCGTAATCGGAAGGTCAAATCTGGACCTCTGGGGAGCAGCTACGGCAAGAAAAAAAACAGGCCTGGAACCAGGTATAACCGGACTAGGTTTCAACTTAATAGGTACTTGTTATTCCAAAATTATTCAAAAAAAAACCAAAAGTAAATTCTTCCCCCGACTTCTGTTTGAATCCGAAAGGAAGGCTAAAAAAACATTTCTTTTAGAGTTCTTTCTTATACTTTACAGAGTAGGAAAAAAAAACAAGGTTTATGAACCTTGAAAGGTTTTTAAATGTTACTTATGAATTGTGAGAGCAAAAAAACTTAATGGATTTATAGATAATTTGACCGTCGTATGGTTCGACAATTTAAATGGATTAATTATATCGACAATTTTAATGAAAAGCATTTGATACGAACATATTTTATAATATAAAGAGCGATATAAGACAGAATATTTTAACGATACTCTTAATAGCGATTTTACCGATAGATAATTATGTTTTAGGGCCGGGAAATAAAATTAAAATACATATGATTTTAAATCAATTAACACTATCTATTTAGATGTTGAATATTTCTTAATGACGGATGGAAAAAAGTTCAGATAAGTATATCGAATTGAAACGTGACAATACAGGATCTCAAAATGGCTGATGACTTTTTTTTTTTATTTTCGTTTTATTTATAACTTGGATATTTACGGCTCACAGTGGCTATAAACCAATCAAGTTTCTGCTACCAAAGTTCAAACAGAAGTGCGCTTCGGATACTCAATTTGAGCCAGCTAAACTATGATTTCAAACTTGGACGCTTGGTGTCGCTGTTTCATACCAACTTAAATTTTAAAGATTCAGAAAATCATTAAGAGGATTGAGATTTTAAATTTATTTAAAAAATGTTTACGGAATGTTATAGTAACGTTCTCGTTACAACTGGGGGTTGGTTAATGTGAGGGATGTGCATACTTTTTTAAACACAGCTTATAAAAACAAGGCTTCAGTTTGGAAATTGTCACTCTCATTTATTACACTGACCTGTACTTGTTTTTAATTACTACGATTGCAGAAAAGCCCTTTTCGCACAAGTAAGTGCGAAAAAGAGTAAGTGAGCTCCAAAATTCAAACAGTTTGTTCTTGTTGTGTTGAAGCTTTAGTCTGGAATCACAGGACAATTTTGTCAGTTGTTCTTCTTCCTCTGTTGAAAGTATCGATGGCGTGGATGACAGGAAAGGGTTTCTGACCCAGTCATATTGCTCCATATCTTCGCAAAAATATTTCTCAAAGTGTTCGCTCAATGATAACATTAGTTGTGTAAACATATTGTTTAAAGAGGGATCAAGGATTTCTATCGATTTTTCTTGTAGAATACCTTGTAAAGCAGGGAAATAGTCAATTTGTGATTCTGTATGTAGATAAGTCTAAAATTTATTTCTTAATTCGTATACACGTGCGAGTACGTTACCTTTGGACAGCCAACGAGAGTTGCAATAAGGAATTAAAGACGTGTGCTCGGTTCCCATTTCTTCACAAAGGTTATGGAAAAGTCTTAATTTCACGGGTCGTGTTTTAATGTAGTTCCCCACTCTAATAATGCTATACATCGGAACACTTCAGGTGTATCGTTCTTTGCTGCTAAGGCCTCTCTATGTATATGGCACAATGTGTCCATTTTACACTTGGAGCCTTGGTTTTGATGAGAGCTTATAGTCCTCCATACTATCCAGACATCACTCGGGCACCATTCGTACACACGCCTACACAGTTATCCCAGTTAATATTATTTTCAGTCATGTATGCGTTTACAATCTCGAATAAATCAGTAGCTTTACTATTTTCACATATTTTTCTGCAAAGTAACAAATCCTCACATATATTTGTTTTTTTTTGTATGTACCGTACATAACATATCAATTGCGCATCATCATTATTATCAGTCGCCTTGTTCAGTTGAATGGCAAATAAAGCTGAAAGTTTTCCCACAATTTGCTCATTCATATCTTCTGTCATGTCATGTAAATACGCCGACTAAACGTAGTGTTAGAAAGAGGTACCTACATTTTTTATTTCTTTAGCTGCCAATTCTCCAATTATCACTGTTAAAGTTTGTTTAGCAGTAAATGGTTGACTTCAATTTATCGATTATAAATACCCTGGGTAACCGATAATAGTATAAAGCGCCCGGTTTCAGTTAACAATGGCTTAACTGAGGTACAAAGTCTTAACAATGGGCTTGGGCAGATAAATTTATTCATATTTACGACTTCACTAATTGAAGTTAACCATTTTCTGGTATAAAAACTTTACCATATTAACCGCTGCAGTTACTCAGCGATCGTATGTGGTTTTTTACATTTGGCAACACGGTAAGCTACCATGTAAGTGAGAGCGCCCACCAAAGTGGCGTGGCTCGTAGCAAGTGGCAAGTAGCACGCGTCTAGCATGTTTCTTAAAATGTAACCAATGAAAACGAATGATTCAGCGTACACCAAAATGACAGTGACGTCATTCATTCTAATCATTGGTTTTCATTGGTTACATTTTAAGAAACATGCTAGATCCGTGCTACTTGCAACGTGCTACTTGCCACGCCACTTTAGTGGGCGCTCGCCCTAAGAGGCGAGCAGTGCTTTGGTAGGAATTGATGCTCTTGAAACCAAAGCCGTGGTTTGATCTTTTAGCTCTCTCAATTTTCTTAGAAAAAAAGTCTCTTGGCTTACCTTGTAAATGACTGTGAGTTGATTTCTAATGATGTTTTGGTTTATTAGGAAGCATACTTTCAGCCGCCAACACTTTGTGACAAATAACACATTGTGGAAGTTATATATTTCCGTTAGTACCTCAGGTAAATCCAAAATCCAAATATTGGTAGTCGTATTTCCTTTAATTATTTTTTTACTTACATTACTACTCTCGTCTGATTCTTCACTTCTTTTTCTATTTTTTTTAAATATAAGTATCCATTGTTGATAGCAAAAAACTTCACATGCGTAATAAAACACAACAAAAGCTTGACTAAATGACATAATACCCGCGACAGTAAGGACCACGGGATAGTAGAGTCGACCGGCGAAACAGAATACGCCCGGCGCTCACTCGGCTCCAGTATTGCCAATTTCTGGATAATTATCCGATTTTCGGATAATTTCGTGGACCATTGGATAATTTTCGGACTGAACAATTTTTTGAATAATTACGGATAAATTAAAGATCTATCGACTTGATGTTAGATTTTTTATTTGATTTATTTATAAATAAATATATTTTATATCCACTTAAAATCAAATAAATACATTTTCTGTATTAAAAGACCGCACTGACACGCGATGCCCCTGGGTCAACGTAACGACGCCCCAGGGCGTCGCGCCTCACAGTTAGGGAAGCCCTGGCCTATGCATTTTTAACGAAATCGGCGATCATATACCCTTTACGGGCACTTGTGTTAAGCAGTACATGACGGACATTATAACCGCCATGGCGTGAGCTACTAGTACTATGAGCGGCCATAATGACCGCTGTTTCAGTTAACCTGTTAATAAGTTTTAGCCACCTTTATATTCTCCAGCAATTCGGTACTGCGGGAGCATACATCGATCTAAGTGCTCCCAAAACACATATCATAAATTCTTTTCTGAAAATTATTGCTTGACCTTATTTTCCAGAGATGTGCTACTATTATACAGCCTCCACATTATTTTTATGTTAAGATCAGTCCTCAAATACACTCGTCCATCCGATTTTTCTCTACAATAATGTGATTCGCTGCATTCAAACGACTGAATGAAGTTGTAGCGATATTCTTTATTCTTATAAAATCGGTGGTCTTCACCTTTGATTTATCGCTAATCCATCTAATGATTGGTGTAATCGTTGCAATACTCCAGTAATTCTGTCCTTATTGATATGTAAAATTAATATAAAAGCTGATTTGCAAAAACGCAATTTTTTTCCATCTGTTTTATTATAAAGGAAATATTTTGTACTCATTCGACTGGAATTTCAACTTCCATCTTTGCGTCGGTGTCTTTGAATGTTTTTGCCACACAAACTAATAGTAGCTAAAGCCATAGTAACAAATCAAATTTTAAAATTTTGCTCCAATTTGTTGAGATGTCAGAGTATCTGAAAACAAAGATAGTTCAAATTATGTAAAAAAGTGAAGTTAGCGGATATTGGAATTTATAAAACTCATGTAATCCTTTAGTGTAATGTACTTAAAAATTTACTATTTTAGTGAATTAGCTACCGAGAGTTTATATACACCTTACAATGGAGTGAATACTGGAATTTTAGCAATTTTGGATCCAATGCCCCAAACTGTACGATTCTCATCTCTACATTTTTCAGGATTTAAGGTAAACGAGTTATGCATTCTCCAAATTTTTAATTTTTTTTTGTGTTTATACATATATTTGTGTACAAAATGAGCTACACTGTACATAAACTGAAGTGAAACACTGTGGTAACAATAAGCAATTTATACAAATGTATAGTTTTAAACATTTGTAACATTTTACAATATGCTGATGACTTATGTTTCTATGTTAAGATAAAAACTTTTCAACAATGTATTAATGCCCTTACAGTAAATATGTCTAATTGCAAAAAATATTTTGATAGTCATGGACTTGACATCTCATCTAATAAGTCAGGTGTAGTATTTTTTTCGAGACACAGGTTACCAAAAGTTAGTACGTTAAAATTCTCCCAGCTGGAAATTCCTATATAGGTATAACAGTTTTACATACCTAGGTATTACCTTGGATTCAAAATTAACCTGGAACGAGCATATTAATAATTGTATTACCAAATGTGAAAAAAGCCTTAATATGCTCAAGGCCGTTAATCGATACGATTAGAGGGCAAACCTGAAAATAAACTTATTATTTTACACAGCATATACCAAATTAATTTTGGACTATGGAAGCTTTTTCCATGGATCAGCGACAAAGTCTCGTTTGATTAAATTGGATCAAATACAATACAAAACTTTAAGAGCTCTCTAATCTACTCCAACACTAGTCCTTTTGGCAGAATTTAATGAGCCACTTTTACATTTAAGACGCCTATTTTTGGCAGAAAAAATTTGTTTTAAATGCCGGTTTAATAATCAAAACAGCTTATTACAAAAAATATTTTGTCTCTCTGTTGAAAATCTAACAAGCAAATGGTAGGCAAATAAAAACTCTCCAACCCAAGCTGCTGCTTCTCCCAATTTATCACAATATTCATTCAATGGAGAAGCGATTCCATTCTTTGGCTTCATTTATGACATACTATGTGAATATAAACCTGCTGTAAGTAACTCCTTCATATATTTTAATTGTTTACGAAGATTGAGTAGTACAGAACAAGCTGGAAGACTGTAACCATTCTTGTAAAATTTATACCGATGGATCAAAATCGCCTGCTGGTGTTGGCTGTGCCACTTACATAGACAATATTCAAGATTATTTTTAGTACTAATTAAAATTAGATTGCTCAATATTTACAACTGAATTGGTAACCAGATAAAATTATATTTTGAACGATATATAATTTTATCTGACTCACAGTCCGTCCTTCTCGCATTAAGACACTTCTCCAAACACATATATACCAACAGACTAATTGTAGATGCGCTTGAAAAGCTAAGGATCCTAACTTCTCTAAAAAAAAAATTGTTAACTTTGTGTTGGTTAAAGGCCATTCTAATATTCCAGGCAACAAAAAATGGACCATTTGGCTAAAGACGCTACTTTAGTGGATATAGAATACAACAAGTTTTCCAAATGGGATTAAGTTTCAGCTAGGAAGAAAACGTGTTAGACTTAATTGGGAAATTGAGTGGCAACCATTTACTAACAGTAGCAAAATCACATTCTCCTTCTTCTTGATGACATTACGAATGTTGGCGATCATCATGGCAATCTTTATCTTATCTGCAGTAGCGCAGAAAAGCTGCACAAATGTATTGAACTAGATTCGGAGGTTCTTTAACCAATATGTTCTTCTTCCTGGACCTCGCTTTCAAAATATTTTTTCTTGCAGGATGGCTTAAATGAGAGCATATCTGTATATATTTCGCATAATATGTCCGAAGAATTATAACTTTAGAGATTTAATAGATGTCAGTATCTCTCGGGTATTATTCTTTCTTCTGAGGACCCTATCGTTGTGACTCGGTCAGTCCACGGGATCTTAAGTATTCTCCGATATAGCCACATCTTAAATGCTTCCAGTTTTTTGCACATATCTTGGTTCAAGGTCCATGATTCAACACCATAAAAAAGGACAGAGAAGACGTAGTATCGCAGCATTCATACTTTTGTATCAAGAGAGAGGTTGTGACTCTTGAAGAAGACCCCCATCCGATTGAAGGTGAATCTAGCTTTTGCGATGCGTGCTCTAATCTCCTGGTTGTTGATCCATTCTTTATTTATTATGGTGCCGAGGTAGTTGTACTGCGTCACTCTGTCTACAGGAGATTGGTTCACGTAGAGTTGACCTTCTGTTATCGTTTTTTTAGTACCGCCTAATAAAGGACAGAGAATTATAATTTTACACTGCGGTAGAGAAAATGAATCGACCATATATTATTAAAATCTGCAAAAAAATTAAATACGCGTCTAGAGACTATTATGAGGATACGAAAAATTCAATTTTTGAAACAGGGTTTGAAAAATATCTTCTTCCGAAATTACATAAACATAGTGTAATTATCACGGACAACGCATTATACCATTCAAGATTAATGAAAAAAATTTCAAATATTACTTGGAACAAATTACAAATTCAGGAATTTTTATTTAAGGAAGATTTGTATTTTGAGTCATAATAATATAGTAAAAAGTAATTGTTGGAGGCTGCTCATAGTAGACAGTACCAGAAGGAATATTTTGTGGATAACTGTGCTCGCAATAATGGGCATATCGTGCTTAGACTTCCTCCTTATTATTGTATATTGAACCCAATATAGTTAAACTGGGCTTAACTTAAAGGAAATATAAGGAGAAGAAACATGGTTCCTAAATTTTTGTCTACTGTTTTCTAATAAATTAGAAGAGAAGTCACAAAGATCACAGCAATCAACTGGAAAAATGTAATCAAACATGTAATCGAAGAATAACTTTTAAATATTTACCACCATTAACTAAATTAACTACAAATTTAGAAGATACGAGTGATACTAGAGGTAGAGATTCTAGAGGTAGAGAGGTAGATTCTTCTTCTTCAGATTTCTTTTCCTATCGGAGGTTGGAAATCATCATCGCTATTTTAATTTTATTGGCCGCGCTTCTGAAAAATTTTAATGAGCTGCAACCGAACCACTCTCTCAAATTTCTTAGCCAGGATATTTTGCGTCGTCCTGAGTTTTTCTTTCCTCGTATCTTCCCTTGCATAATTAACCTAAGTAATACGTACTTGAATACGCAGTGAAGAACACGGATTATCACTTAACATAAGCAAAACAAAAATAATGCTAATATCTAAATCACCACAAAACTTCCCTGACATAACCGTGCATGATCAAAGAATCGAACGTGTAAGAAGATATAATTACCTGGGAACTGTTATCAACGAAAATAATGATTGCTCTGAAGAAATCAGAACCAGAATAGAGAAAGCTAGAGCCACATTTACTAAATTGAAAAAGGTGTTCTGCGGAAGAGATCTAAGTCTAAAACTTAAAATTAGCCTTTTGAGATGTTACGTTATGTCAGTTTGTAGCGTTTACGCTACTGATTAACCCCTTAAGAAATTTTTATTACCCGCCTACGATCGATTTTAAATCGACATTTTTCCCCCACACGCGCTGTTATCGCTTTGAAAGGAAGATCGATTTTATGCGGAAGCGGAACGATTAGTTTTGGTCAGAACTCTACGCAGCCACGTCAACCGGTGAAATTTTTCACCTTCAAAGTGACGGAATTGGAGCAAGGAAGATAATTTGGGGAAGAATATAATTCATTAATAATAATATAAATAAGTAATTTGTATAATAAAATCAATATTAATATAAGAGTTCCACAGAAAAAGGAAGTTTTTTTTTGGCGTGTTGCGGCTCCATGTAAGTAAATCATTTCATACGTATTATCTCCTTATCATATAATCAAATTTATCATTGTATTTAGTATTTCTTTAGAGATTTATTTTTGAGTTCCGAAATAATTTAAATATAAAATTTCCTTGATTTACTTGCAAAGAACAGAAGTTCCTTTTTTTGCTGGAGATGAGGGAGAATGTAGCGTTTACGCTACTGACTAGTCCAATTTAAACCCCTCAAGAAATAATGTAGCGTTTACGCTACTGACTAGTCCAATTTAAACCCCTTAAGAAATAATGTAGCGTTTACGCTACTGATTAACCCCTTAAGAAATTTTTATTACCCGCCTACGATCGATTTTAAATCGACATTTTTCCCCCACACGCGCTGTTATCGCTTTGAAAGGAAGATCGATTTTATGCGGAAGCGGAACGATTAGTTTTGGTCAGAACTCTACGCAGCCACGTCAACCGGTGAAATTTTTCACCTTCAAAGTGACGGAATTGGAGCAAGGAAGATAATTTGGGGAAGAATATAATTCATTAATAATAATATAAATAAGTAATTTGTATAATAAAATCAATATTAATATAAGAGTTCCACAGAAAAAGGAAGTTTTTTTTTGGCGTGTTGCGGCTCCATGTAAGTAAATCATTTCATACGTATTATCTCCTTATCATATAATCAAATTTATCATTGTATTTAGTATTTCTTTAGAGATTTATTTTTGAGTTCCGAAATAATTTAAATATAAAATTTCCTTGATTTACTTGCAAAGAACAGAAGGTCATTTTTTTATATATAGTTAAACTTAAATTCTGTTTTATTCCACGTCGTTATCATTAAGTTTTTTTGGTTCCCATTTTGTATCTAACTTTTTTGGTGGAATATAAAAAGGTTCGACAAATATTGGACAGCCTTCTATATTCTGCGCATGTTCTTTTCATGGCGCAAGCCTGTCATGTCTACGAAGTAAATTCGGAAGTTCTGACATGTTGACATAACCTAATGTTTTGATGTTTTGTTTTGGTGCAGTCAATCCATGCTGCTACACCTATTGAATTGTATTTATTAAATTAAATAATAATTTTAGATTCCGTCACTTCACTTGAGGATATTCTCTTCAGAATATTCCCTCAAGGACTAGTAACTAAATCCTTAGATACATAGTTAGCAACTTGTGTATGTAACCCGTGGTTTTTGCTGTCACCCAGAGACCAGTGACTGGTTGTGGCTTTTGTGCCCAGGATTCGTCTTTACAGTCATAAACTGATGTAGCAGTGCCAAGAGGAGTTTTTCCTATGGACTTATGGGGCTGTAAAGATAAGT